AGCAGGAAGCCACTCAACACAGTCAGTGCCTTTCCCACCAGTCCCAGGAAACAGCCATGCCATACAGCATTGTGTCATGGAAGGCAAAATGTTTGAAGGCTGGGGAGAAGGGCAACCTGGAGATTTTTCCTCCCACCATAAGACAATCTTTACCAGCAAGCAGAAAATCTTTGAATCTATTCTAGCAGTCTTAATAATCCCCACTGAATGGAAACCAGGCAACTGTCATAATACTTTCTATTTGGGAAGTTTCCCTATTATACCACATTAAGGTATTAAATCAATATTCTAAACAAAGCAGTGCATCCTGTGCTTTGCAAACACTACTCTTCTCCTTAAGTGTCTCCAGTTTCAAAGTTCTAATGCGTCTCAAGTTTTCCATTTTTTGCAGTCAGCACAGGTTGCTTTCGTTAATTTCTTTCTACATCTATGCTCAAGTTCAATGCTATTGTTTCTAACTACAGAAAGATAAACTGTTCTGTTTACCCGTCTTTTTAGGCTCTTTCACTCCTTGTGTTTAGTAACTAAATTTTCCCTGAACATCAAAGTATGCCTGAAATAGACTGTCTGATGTACTTCATTCACAAGAACGACCAATTTGTTCACCTTCCCTCAGACACTTTCTCAGAGGGAGGGCAGCTGAGGCAAGGTGGGGGCAAGAAAGCACCCCTCAATTCCCTTTGCTTGCTACTTTGCTCTCCACAAACAAGCATCTAGTAGTAATTCTAAATCCAGAAATTTAAAGGAGATGCAAAGTCAGAGAGGCAATACATTAGCATGTTGACTGACTGCTGGTTCATGATTAAATACAGTTGCCATGCTATGCGGTGCCTTTAAAGTGTTATTTGTTTCCCTAAATAAGGTTGGATTACAAGAAGGCACTACATGTAGAACAGATGTTGCAGACTCCAGAGTACTGAAGCAAGCAATATACATAAACTAGGGACACGTATCAAGCCCTTGGAGCCTGCAAGACATTTAAGTGCAAGCAGGTAGTCAGGTGCTTGTGTGTGCAGCTCAGTGTTTTCACTGGTGTACAGACTGGTTTAAGCCAAATATTGTTAAAAACCCTACAGATGCTAAGTTTCGTATTTAATAAAAATGTTTATCTGTAAACAAGAGTTATCCTTAGAACGGATCATATCCCAGAAATCAGAATTTCAAGACAGTGCAACAACGCTTCAGTGTTTTCTTTGGCAGTAGACAGCAAGTTGAAATGTAAAATTCAAATCACTTCAGAAGAGCACGGTACAAGGTTAGAGAATGCTTCATATCCCTCTCTTGTTCCATGCAGAATATCAAGTCCCTGAGACAGACGCGGGTTATTCTTGGACAGAGCAGCTGTTTCGTAAGGCTAAAACCTGATGATCCAGGAGCAATCCCACTGCCTTTCAAATCCTAAATGGGGGAGGGAGAAAAAAACATTAGAATTCCATGTAAATACATGTTTTTAACCAAACTGGTTGGATTATACTGCCTACTTGCATACAACTAGCTGGCTGATACTCGGCTTTACATGTTGAAAACCAGCAATCCAGAAGTCCTTGCACATTTACTACTTTGAAAGCCAAAGTAAGCACTTGCCAGTTAATGGTTTATTTCAGTCAAAACAATGAAAAAACTCATATTAAAACTCCAACCAAACAACTTTTTAAAAACCTATACTGTTATGGTGAGATAAATAACTGCTGTTTCACCGAAGTCACACTACATAAACACTTGCACTTGAGAAAGGACCACCGAACTACACAGAAGGCACTACCATGGTCCCTACCCAAAGGCCGGGTTGTGGCAAGGTTCTTACTCCCATTTGCAGAAAAAAAACAAACCCAAGCTCCAGTTTTTCCCATCTCTACTTGAAGAAAACCATGACTGCAAGTGGGCTCTAGCCTTGAAATAGGGCCAGGAGAAACTCTTACCTTGGCCACCACTTGTGAATTGTCCTTTTAAGGGAGCAACAAACACACAGTCAAAGCTTCCGTGTGTTCAGAACACTGTATCCAAGCCCATCTATCTCAGTTGGCTGCCTTGCTTGGTTATGAAAGCACAATTGGTAGGAGAAGATGATATGTAGTAGTTATACATTCAGGCTACTGGAATGAGCAACCCCCACGCATTCCAAAATGCCCCAAGATTTATTATTAGAGGCAGGGAGGAGGAAGATTACCATGAGCTGCACAATAGACTGGCTACTTATCTTGGAGCCAATCTATGCTACACAGCCAGTCTCTTATCACTACTGGAGGGTTCTCAGTAATGAATGCAATTTGTACAAATACGAGTGCTCAGTCTCTGTAACTTCAGCAAGGCAATGCCTGCCAGCATCAACACCACTTGGAGATGGTGCTGCTTGGATGCCGTGTTAACTGTATCAATTTTTACCCTAACACTCTCTACAAGACTTCAGCAAAATGACTCTGCCCACTTTGCTTAGAGAAATTTGGTTTAAAACCCCATATATTAGAAACAAATACCAGTGCTGCACTATATAGCAGTGAATGCTACTGCTGTTAGTGGGGAAGCATTGAAATTTATTTTAAAAAAATAAACAGATTCACCAGCAAGCACAAACTAACTACAGAAAACTACAGGGCATATGGCAGAAATGGAAGCTGTGTTTCTTACTAGCAGCGTGCAGGGTATTCAGCACCATTTCATTTGCTTTACAGTCAATACTATTAAACACTATGAAATGCCATCATTTGAAAGTTTCAGTTTGTTAAATGGCTTGGAACAAATGTGTGCGTGGGGAAGACTGCTGGCCACATTGCACAGAGAGGGCACTGCTGTCCTGGTAAGACACAAAAGGGTCACAGTTCAAGTTTGTCATATGACAACCCTGAAGGATCCAAGGAAAAGATAGCTCTGCAATGCAGCTGCCAGCATGGGTTGAAAAGGAGGTCAATCCAACAGGATGCAGCAGAAGGCCTGAGGCAATGTTATAAATGAAACAAACCCCAAGGGTTTTCAGTAACCCAACAGCAATGTCCTTTATAATTCAAAAAACTTTATGGAGGTGAAAGTATTTTCTCTCTAAGCAGTCATTAGACTAGAAGTCTTATCTTTAAAGAGACACCAAACAAACCCACCTCAATCCTGTTCACTCCCTCACAAAAAGGAGGCAGACAGCACAAACCCCTGAGCCTGCTTTGGAAGCTGCTGGAGCTGCAAGATGCTACAACAGGGCTGATACCTCAAGCTGCCTGCTCTTGAGACAGAGTTACAGTCTTGTTTATTCTTAACTTGTTACCCATCATACCCAGTGCAGAGACTTAAACCAATGTTATGCCTGAATACCATGTTCAAAGCCAAACTGGACTCTTGCTTGGTAAGACAGCCAGTCAGTACTTTTAAGTTCACTTAGAATCACATGAGCTTATCAGAGCTACCAAGTACAGCATTCCAGGGCCAGGGACTCTTTGACTGGTTAGAGAACATACCTAAACCAACAGCTGCTACCACATCCAAGTTTAAAAAAAGGTCCTTTTCTCCAAATGCATGATGGTTTAAAATTAAAGCAGCCACCTGTCAGCCTAGGTCTTTCCATTCCAGACTGGAACTGTGTTAGGAAACTCTCTCAACTAAGTTTATACGGGGATGAGCACAATTTCCTTTCAGCCACTGTCCCCTGCAGCTGCATCAAAGCACTGGTCTTCCATGGTTTACCTTGGACTTTGGACCCAAACAGTAGAGAGCGATGTGCTTACTACTTGTCATTTTGCAATAAAACCTTTGGGGAACCAGAAGTAAAAACAACTGAAGATGCCAGCAGTGCATCAAAATGAACCATCACAGGTGCCTCTGTTAATGTCCAAGTCCTCATTAAAGAAGCACCCAGCTCTGAGCTCTCCAGCTGACACCAGGCACATTTCAGGAGAGGATCCTCTGCTGCTCACTGCTCAGAGGCTCCTCTTCACCAAGGTTGGGCAGCAGGTCAATCTTGTTTGGCCCTAGGCTACAGTTAGCAGTCCTCATCTTTATATCTCATATACCCCCTTCTAGACAGAAACTTCCGCACACTCCTTCTGAGACTTTAAATACCCTGGTTAGAACAACATCAGCCCACCCCCTGCTTTCAGACTTCTCTATTGCGTTCCCCCCTGTTGGGCAGCAACTCTTTGTAACTTGGTATTTTAGGGGATTCTTCATTGCAGAAGTCTTCAGCCTACCCTAAAACAGCTTTGTGAGCTCTTTCTTGTGAGCAGGGGAGTTGGACAAAATTATCTCCAAAGGTCCCTTCCAACACCTACCATTCTGTGATCCTGAGGAAAAGTGAAAAGTGACACTTTTCAACCAGGCCACACACAAGTACGAAGATAAATGAATCTAAAAAGCATCCTCATAGAACAAATTCTAAGAAAAGGGTGCTGCAACCAGCCTGCACCCCCTTTCTGCAACATCTAATTATTATTGCCTTACCTAGCAATTTTTTTTTTCTGTCTTTCTTTTTCCTCACTTTTATTTATTTATAGTTTTTTTGTGGTTGTCTTTTTCTTTATTTTTAAATTGGAAACACTTCTCCACAGAGGAAGTTGGAAGAAATCAGACATATCCTGAGCTTCCTGCCTTTCACTGAAGGCCAGCATCCCGCTTTCCTTCTGAAAGGGAAATGACACAGAAACATGCACCCCAGGAGGGGTAAGAACCAGCACAGGTATTACCAGCTGACCTGGATATCAATATCCATGCTCCAGGGAGCAGCAATAGCTCCAGCACAGCTGACAGGCCCTGTTCATAAGCCAGGTAAGGTACTGTGGCAGCGGGCTCTGTACTACTGGAAGCAACTCTTCACAGTACCCAGACCACTACTTGGCTTAAAGCCAGCCCTGTGAGGCCCCAGTGGCAGCAGTCCTGCTTTTGATCTATCCCAGAGTTGCGTCAAATCAGCAGCTTTCCCAAAGTAACACTCTCACCCCTTCTTGATCCTCAGAGCCTTTTACATACACCTGAGAGAGATCAGTTACTCCTCCTGATCTTGGCAGCAGCAGACATTGCAGAGCTCCTGTCCCATGCCTGTTGTGAAGCTAGTCTAGTTTGAGCAGTTGCTCCTGAAATCGGTCTTTTAAGATCTCTAGAGCTCTCTCCAGTGGCTGGACCGAGAATTAAATACTAACTCTCTCTAAAGGCAAGGCTGAAGTTGATACATAGCCACAGCTCACAGTAAGACCCTTCCTTTACCTGAGCTACCATCACCACCCTATTCCTAGCCTCGGAGGTATTCGGAGCATGTGATCTACCCATCGTAGGTACTAACAAGAGCATCAAAGTTGCTCAGAGATGTTCTACAGGCCCGAATACAAAGCTCAAAGGGCTCAGCAGGCACCTCAGGCCAGGCTCAGGAAGTTGTTCCTGGTGCGGTACACACTTCCTTCTTAAATTCAATGGCTCCACACCAATCACATTCAAAATTCTAAACTCTTAAAGAGGAGAGCACTCTAAAGGAGCAAAGCATTCAGTCAAACGTTAAAAAGTCAAGCCACAAGTTGTCATTTCAGTTTCTGGTGTGCCATAAACACGCTCCGGTCCCAGAGCCAAGATCTCAGGATAGCAAACTGTCATTGCAAAGCACGAGACAGTTTTCAGCGACATCTCCATACACTGAATAACTACAGCTGCATGCTGCAGAGACCTTGTTGGAAGGTGGTAAGAGCATCTAGCTAATCAGAGCAAAAGCATCCAGGTTCAACCCACAGCTCTGTCACCTGTGGTTGTACTCAGGTCTCTGATATTTGGTGCACTTTTTGTGTTGCAAGGTTAAAAAGCCATTAACATTTTCCTGGGTCCCAGGAGCAAGGGAGAAGAGACCCTATCAGAATTGTGACAGTTTTTCTTGTACAAATAAATGCCTGATTTAGGCCAGAGAAAACAAAGTGAAAGGAGTTGATATTACTTTGGTGACAAGCCAGCCTACTGATTGCTGCCTAATCTAACAAGCCCCAGTCTGATAGATACACTCCCACACTCAGAATACTAAAATACTACATTACTCAATATGTATATGTTGATTTTTTAAATAAACTTGGTTGTACTAGGTGGTTGGTGTTTTGCAGATTATTTTTTTTTAAACTTTATAGATCATTACAATAGATCAAGCCAACGTCTGAAAGGCTTAGATCTCCATATCTAGGCTGCTTTTCATGCAGCTGAAAACAAACATATATGTATATCTGCAGCCTACAAGGGAGCCTCACAAAGCTGTCAGATCTATATAATAGAGAATGCTATTCAACTACGCATTTTTCCTCAGATTTCACTGCAACATTCCTACAAGTCCTTTCAAACATGGGCAACAACATGTTTTACATATTGAAACAAATTACTAGGAATGTAATGTCAGTTTATTCACTATTATGCCCAAGATTCATGTATGCATGTCACTTTGCATGGCTACATCAGAT